GTGTGTGTGTGTGTGTGTGTGTGTGTGTGTGTAGAAACAATATGTTTTGCTTTTGGCTGCTCCCTTCTTCAGGGGTCATTACTGTGAGCAAACTCACAGGAAAGATTAGGCAATTGGTTTTATGCTGGATGCCCTTCCTGACAACCTGGGCTTGATCTCTCAACTTGTGGAGTACAACACTGCAGCACTGACCACTGAGCTACTGCAGCCCAGATAAAACATAGTAAATACCAAAAAGATCCATACTCAGCTAATCTGTAGTATCATACAAACAGATGACTATAACTGAGTCCGTTTCACAGACACTGAGCTAAAACATGATGTGGCAGTAGCTGAGAGTCATCCACAATACAGATCCTGAGCACTAAGAACAAGCTCACTTAACGTCTAACATTATTTTCAAGGTTTGGCTGGGATTATGACCAATACTCATTTCTCAGCATCAGATCTCATTTTAAAACTCTAAGGCAGTGGGCAATATGCACTCCTTCATAAGAACTAACCTGTACGTAATTAATTGTATGAAGATTTTTGAAAATGTGGCAATGTTTATAAAAGTGATCCTAAATAATCATAAAAAATTTCAAAAATGACTACAAGAGAAAATTGGTTGAAAAAATGGACAAGTTGAGTCAACAGTCACGTGTGTGGTGTTTTATCAAAGGATAGGCAGTGTGTGTGTGTGTGTGTGTGTGTATGTGTGTGTGCGTGTGCGTGCGTGTGTGTGTTTTCCTGATCTTCCAGTGATTTCCTTGCCTGAATGGATCTCAGCTGCCAACAGTCCTGGAGCTGAGCTGATCTCTGACTCATGCTAAAAAAAAAAACAGCAACTTGTGTTTGGAACCGGGTCAAACAGAACCCTCATCCTAAACACTCACTTGATGGATGTCAGCACCTGAAGCTTGGACTCCATACTTAAGACAGAATCACAGTTAATCAACGTCAGCCTCCACAGAATGTAAAGCTTAATGTAGCATCAGTCATGAAAGCTGCTTCCTGTGCATCCATGAGGAACACAGGAAGTGACTGAATATCAGCAGGAAGTGAGTGAACATCAGCAGGAAGCAACTGAATATCAGCAGGAAGTGACTGAACATCAGTAGGAAGCGACTTAATATCAGCAGGAAGTGACTGAACATCAACAGGAAGCAACTGAATATCAGCAGGAAGTGACTGAACATCAG